CAAAGGCATAAAAGCCCTAGAAGAAAACATAGGCAGTAAAATCTCAGACATTTCTCTCAGCAATGTTTTTTCTGGTATGTCTCCTTGAGCAAAGGAAACAAAAGAAAAAATAAACAAGTGGGATTACATCAAACTAAAAATTTTTGCACAGCAATGGAAACCATAGACAAAATGAAAAACCATCCCACTGAATGGGAGAACATATTTGCCAATAAGACATCTAATAAGGGGTTAATATCAAAAATGTATAAGAAACTTATCAAACTCAGTACCCAACAAACAAACAATCTAATTTAAAAATGGGCAGAGGACCTGAGCTGGTACTTCTCCAAAGAGGACATTACAGATGGCCAATAGACAAATGAAAAGATGCTCAACATCACTAATCATCAGAGAAATGAAAATGATAGCCATAATGGGATATCACCTCACACCTGTCAAAACAGCTATCATCACTAAATCAACAAACAAGTGTTGGCGAGGATGTGGAGAAAAGGAAACCTATATGCACTATTGGTGGGAATGCAGAATGTTGTAGTCACTGCAGACAGCAGTATAGAGTTACTTCAAACAATTAAAAATGGAAACTGCCTCATGATCCAGCAATTCCACTTCTGGGAATTTATCTAAAAGAACCCAAAACACTGATTTGAAAGAATATATACACCCCTATGTTCATTGTAGCATTATTTACAGTAGCCAAATCTGTAAACAGCTCAAGTGTGCATCAGTAGATAAGTGGATTAAAAAGTTGTGGTACATTTACATAACATAATACTATTTGGCCTTAAAAAAGAAGGGTTTTGTTTTTTTTTTTGGTGACAGTATGGATGGACCTTGGAGAATATTATGGTAAGTGAAATAAGCCAGTCAGCAAAAGATAAGTACCGTGTGATTTCACTTATATGTGGAGTCTAATGAACAAAATAAACTAAAAAACAAAAAAGAAACAGACTCACAGCTACAGGGAAAAAACTGACAGCTGTCCAGAGGGGAGGAAGGTTGGGGGTTGGGTGAGAAAGGTGAAGGGACCAAGCAAAAAACAAACAAACAAAGCAAACCTCAAACTCATAGACACAAACAACAGCATGGTGATTACCAGAGGGAAAGAGAGGTAAGGGGAGGTAAAGGAGGGCTAAATGGTGATGGAAGGAGACTTGACTTGGGGTGGTGGACACACAATACGATTACAGATGATGTACTGTAGAATTGTACACCTGAAACCTGTATAATTTTATTGTCTCCCCAATAAATTCATTTTTAAAAATCAGGTAAAACTCCATAATTTATAGCAGTTGGAATAAGGTAAGTTTAGCATTTGTTCAGATGGCTAAGGCTTTTACCAATTTTAATTGACTTTTAAGATTTGTGTTTGTTCTTGATAAGAAAATTTTAAGGAGAGTGGGGGCAGGTGGTGCTACTCAGGAAAGGGCATCTTTTAAGTAATTTCTGCTATTAAAAGAAAAGATTCCTTTTCCCATCCTTTAGTTTGTTTAGTTTCAGGCAGTTGTGACCTCTGTTTATATTTTTGATTATCTGTAAGAGGACCTTGAAAGTTGCTGAGAAGGCTTTAAAAATCCTATTAGACTTCTAATTTTGCTAAATTTCTGATTATAGAGTTATTAAATTCTTTGAAATATCTTGTCAAGTTTCAGGCAGGACAAACAATAAGAATTTTTTAAGCACCTGCTAAGGTGGCCAAAGTTTGTTTTAGGATTCTTGCAGAGAAATTGTTTTGTCTTTTAGAAGTGTCTGCTTATCAACTGAAGAATACATTCCATTGTCACAGAAAGTTTTGAATTTCTTTCTTTATGAAATCTATTTCTTATGACAACATAATAGACAAAGATGAGAAAAGGAAACAAAAGAGCATGCAACTAAATGAGTACTCACTCATCAAGGAAACCTTGTGAGCGGTTCACTCCCTAGGGTAGTTCTCATGAGTGAAAAGCCCCTCCTGAAGAAAAAAGATTCTTTCCCATACAGTAGAAAGTTCCTGTAGTATCCTGCCACATGTTGGCACCAGGACAATTGTCCCTGGGGCGATTGCCCACCCCCTTGAGGGAAAAATCTCTCCCCTCAACAAAACTCCTAATCTCAAATCAAGGCATTTGACCTCAACCAAAAAAGGAGAGAGCAGCGTTAAACCCAAGAGGGCTTCACAGTCAACAAGGCAGCAGTACATGGAAGTGGTCAGCACAAAAGAGACTCTGTAGGTACTGTGTCTGGTTCCAGGGTTGTGCATCCATGAGGGTGAGACCACATAGATTCCAATTCTGACTCCAAATATGTTAACCTAAAAATCGAAAATGAGCAGCAACAAGCATTTGAAATTTAAAAAAAGACTAGCTATTTGAGAACCACTAATTCAAACAGAAACCCAAATGGTTTTCCAATATTGAGGCAAAGGGCAAAGGTAGTTATGAGAAGGATCAGGAGAACAACACATCAATAAAGGAAGGCATTTCTATAGGCGCCAGTAAGCTAACACAATGAAACTAATTCTATACATTTTTAATTTTCAGTCTGGTAGACATCAGTCCATTAATCAAAATGTCGGGGTTTTTTTTGGTTACCTTTTCAAACAGTTCTTTGGTACACAATGTTGCCTTAAGCCCAGTCCAAAGGTTATTTTGCCCCATTTAATATTTCACAGGTCTGAGGCGTGAGAAGTACAAGGCAGCTCCTTTGGGATTGCAGCTCCAACTCCATTTTAAAGTGACTTTGTTTATATTATTTTTTTATACCTGTCTCTTCCAATCCATTGTCCACATAAAACTAGAGTAACACATACACACATGAATACACACACAGAACACCACAGCCCACACCTCACACGACCACACACCACACACACACACACACACACACACACACACACACTGCCTCAGTGCTCCGGTTATGTTACTCCCAGCTAAAATCATATGAATGGCCTCCTGGTGCTCTTTGCATGGAGTCCAAATCCTTGGTCTGGAAGATCGGCTCTGCATGGCCAAGCTCTGGCTGCCCTCACCACTCATTCCCTCGGTAGCAGCATTGGCCGTCTTCCCCGAAAGCCTTGCCTTGCCTTTGTCTTGCCTCAGGGTCTTCACGCCTCTTTTACCTCAGCCCGAAGAGCTCCCCTTGGCTTGACCTTGCTTAGGCCTACCTCTCCTTCAGGGTTTTGCCACAGGGTCTTTCCCAGAAGCCCGCGTTATCCTCTCTCAGAGCAGCTGGCACACGTCTCCCTGAGCCCTCCTCACAGGTATGAGAGATGGCCAGAGTCTCCCAACTCCTGAGCTCCTGAGGAGCTTCTTGAGTGAAAGAACCCATGTCAGTCGGGGTCTCTGCTTTATCCCAAGTGCCCACTCAGTGCATGGCCCAAATAAACATTAGATAAATATGATGAACAAAAGATTGAGTCTAACTGTGACACTGGTTTCGGGAAACCATGAGAACATCAAGCTAGGAACTCATCTGGTCTGTGAGGGGAGGTCATCAGGGAGAGGTGCCAGCTGATTTTTGGAAGTGAAGTATCCCCCCAACTCTGTATAGCACATAATTCCACAAAGAAGAGATTTATCTGTTTTGTTTTTTGCCTATTTCAGTTATTGGTACATCTCAGTGAAAATTATTTGACAGTTGTATAGCACAGAATCTGACCAGTGACCAGAACACACACCAGCTGCACAGTGGCAATGGTGCCCGTCAGCTGTGTGTCAACATTGCTCAGACCTGGAAGGGATGCCTGGCATATAGTAGGTGCACCTTATTTAATAATGTCATGAACGAGAGAAAGGAAGGAAGGAAGGAAGGAAGGAAGAAGAATAAACAGAGGTAGAACAGGGTGAGCAAGTGCAGGGAACAGCAAGTCATCCATTTTTCTCAGACCAGGTAAAGTCTAAACAGGGGGAAGCCCAGTGTGAAGGACACTGTGTGCCCAGCAAGGCAACTGGGACTCCGGCATGGACGACAGAGCACCAGGGGAGGGTCTATCCTGAGGCTCGATGATGAAGGGCTGAGGGTGAACACCAGAGAGCACTGAGGTGCCAGGTGGGGGTGTTCTGGGCTTGAACCTCCATGGGAGAAGGGAGTACAGACAGACCCCAGTGTGAGGACCCAGGAAGGTGTTCCAGACCTTGCTTCCCACACCTCCCAGCTAAATTTGCATGATCAGAAGAATGCAAAAATGGGCTCTGGGTGCCCTGTCCTGGCTCAGCTCCTTGACACTGGGGTTCATGATTAACAAATCAGGACGCACCCAGTGAGGTGGCCTCCAGGGCCTGTTTCCCAGAGGCAGTGCTGGTCCTGCACAGTCTTCCTGAATGCCAGTCAGTGCTGAGGGAGGAGGCCACGCTGGACATTGGAGAATTTGGGGGTGACAGGTGAGAGGACATGGGTGGAGGGACAGTGCTTGGGGTGTGGCCTGCAGCCCCAGGCCCTCCTGGCTCTCAGGGCAGAGCTGGTTTTGGTGTTTGGCTCTTATGCCACCTCAGCAGCCTAAAACGTTGCAGTCAAGGGGGAAGGAGCCTGTGCTGAAACCTACGCCTGGGAACACAGGGTTCCTGCAGTGTGTGGACCCTGGCAGAGGGACCAAAGGGTAGGGGACACATGCCCTCCCTGGCTGCTGCACAGTGTCACCCCGATACACCAAGAAGCTGAGAAGAGATGAGAGAAAAGGACAGAGGGTGGAGGTGGAAGGTACTTTTTATACCAGAGCTTTGTATATGTTGTTCAGTCAAATTCTCAAAACAATCTCAGAAGGCAGGTTTTGATTTTACACTGTGGTGCAGACCTAAAAACAGAGGCTTAGTGGGGTTAAGTGACATGCTCAAGGTCACACAGCAAGAGAGGAATGGAGCCACATCACATGCAGGTCTTTCTGACCCTGCCCCCCTCTCCCATGGCTGTGGCGACTTCCTGCCAGGCAGAAGCACAAAGACAAGCCCGTGAGCAGGGTCTCTGGTTCCCGGGAGGTGGAAGAGAAGGGGTTCTCACACGGCTTCCTCTCTCTTCCCCAGGGCTGCCTGGAAGGGGTGCAGGGGCGCCTACCTCTCTCTGGTGGACTTTGAGATTCAGACACCCAAGTCTCCATGGCTCCTTACCGCATCCGCAAATATCAGGAGAGCGACCGCCAACGTGTCCTGGACTTGTTCTCCCAGGGCATGGTCCAGCACGTCCCCACGACCTTCCACCACATCCTGAAGCTGCCTCGAACACTTGTGTTCTTGCTTGGGGTGCCCCTCGCCCTATTCCTGGTCTCTGGGTCCTGGGTCCTGGCCCTGCTGTCTGGCCTCACCCTCCTTGCTGCTGTGAGGTTCCTTGCCAAATACCCCTGGACTGAGTATGTAGCCCACGCTTTGCACACAGACATGTCTGACATCACCAAAACCTACCTCAGTGGGCCTGGCTCCTGCTTCTGGGTAGCTGAGTCTGAGGGGCAGGTGGTGGGCACAGTGGGAGCTCTGCCTGTGGAGAAGCCCACCCTGCAGAAGAAGCAGCTGGAGCTGTTTCACTTAAGTGTGTCCTTGGAGCACCGGGGCCAGGGGATAGCAAAAGCCCTGGTGAGGACTCTCCTCCAGTTTGCTCGGGACCAGGGCTACAGTGAGGTTGTGCTCAGCACCACCATGCTGCAGTACTCGGCCATAGCCCTCTACCAGAGCATGGGCTTCCGGAAGACGGGCCAGCACTTCTTCAAAAGCTGGGCACTAATTGCTGTTGCTATATTAGAATTTACTTACCAGGTCCCTTCTGCTCAGGTCTCTCAGGCACCATAGCAGAAAGGGGAGCTGTCATCTGCATCCTGGTGCATCTGTCAGGACAGGATGGGCTCTGCAGCAGTAACAAGCTAACTGAGTTCTCACTGTAACAGTAAAAGCTTTTGTTTGTAAACATCGAAGCCCCTGGGGGGCGGGTGGGGGGTGGTTCTGCTCCTTTCTGTCTTTTTGGGTCATCACTGTTGCATTTATCTAGTGACACAAACATTGCATAAAGTCAATCACAAAAGCATAATAAACATTTACTCGGTTTGTCAGCGTGTGGGTCAGCTGTGTAGCCTGTGCTTGGCCGGGCAGCTCTTTGGGTTTGGCCTTGTTCACCTTGGGTGTGGTGGCTGGTTCGTGTGGCATGGTGTTGACTGAAGGACAGTGAGCGGGCTCTCTCCTGTTCCAGCAGGGCCATTCAGGCACGGTTCCAGGGTGATTGCAGATGAGCCAAAGTAAAGCAAACAAGCAAATGCTTCCTGAAGCCTTTGCAGGTCTCACACCTGCTAACATCCCAGGCTTGGCAAGAGGAAAGGGACCTGCGTCTTCAGTGAGAGGAGCTGAGGAGCCCTGTGGCAGGGGAACTTGGAGAGGAGTGTGGGCTGACTCCAGGTGAGAAGGGCTGAGGCCAGTGATGCCCTCCATCTGCCTGGCCCCCAGCTGCTCTGCTGGAGGGGAAGAAGGCAGCCAGAGACAGAGTGTGGGATGTTGACTCCTGGTCTAGACGTGGAATTCCTGAGAGCCACATCCCACTGTCTGGGACCCCGTCACGTGGCCCCCACTGGTCTGAAGGGAGGCTGGGAAATTCGTGTCCTGGAAGAGAAAGGGCAAGTTTCCCTGATCTGCCACCCCTGGAACCCCACGGCTGTCCCCAGATGCTCAGAGGTTTTCACAGATATCTCAGGCCCAACGGCCTCATCCCCTCAAGCCTCCGTCTGACCAGCTCTGAGGTGGAGCTGGGGTCCAGGACTGGTGCCTGCAGCCCTGTGCTCCCTTCCCAGCCTGCTCACCACCAGCATGGGTGTCCCACACGTGGTCTGGAGCCTCTCACTGGGTCCCCCCACCCAGAGGCTACTTTCAGGAGCTGGAAATCCAGGTGCTCTCTCAGGTGGATTTGTGACACACAGCAGCGCCTGTGCCCTGGTGTAGTCTGCTGTGCCCCCTGCTGGGAGCTTTAGGTCTCCTGCAGGGTCAGCCAGGCCACAAACCTGGCCTCATCCTGCCACCTTGTGTAGGACTCAGCACATTACAGCTAAATGGAGCCCTCCAACCAAGTCCACAGTGCCGCTCCAACATTCCTATTTCCCTCACCCAAAACCACGAACCTCAACTTGATCCCTCCATTTCAGCCTCTTGTCTCTCTGGCCTTGGAGCCACCCCACAGGCTACTCTGCCACCCGTCTTCCTCCTCCAGGCCTGCGCCTTGCCCCCTCCCACGTGATTCTCAGAGAACTTGACCATGGAAACCACTTGTTTAACTGTGCCTGTACTTCTGGGTTTTAGAGCAAACTTCTGGACCCTTAGTTGTGCTCCAGCTTCAAACTTCATGGCGGGGCCTAGGGTCCATCCTCCCTGAGGGGCAGGAAGAGGCAGGGACCTGCTTCTGTCAGCTCTTGGGGGTCCCTTGAGGGGTCCACCTGGGCACCACTAGTCCGGGAGACAGGGGAGTCCACAGTGACCCCGAGGCTTTGAAAGGTCTTTAAAGTAACAATTAGGTGGCTGTATGGATTCCAGACAGTTGTGGTCCCTGACCTCCAGGAGCTTCGGGCCAGGGGTGGGGTGGGGGCTGGGAGAATAAGGAGGGCAGGAGCAGACGTGTTGTCATCAGTGGGGATGAAGAACTGCTGAGCACACGGTAGGACACCAAAAGGGCACCTAACCGCCTCTCTGGGGAGGGCCTTTCTGAGGGGGTCAGGGCTTCTGAAATGCAAACTCAGAGCAAGTGTGCCCATCACCTGCTCTGGTCCCCTGCACTTGCTGCTTGCTGCACAGCCACTCTGAGCTGCTTTCACTGTGTGGAAGCTCTCTTTCTGCCTGCGGCCTGGGCGCATGCTGTTCCCTCAGTCTGGAAATTCTCCTTCCACCTCTCGTCCACGCGCCCTCTATGTCTGTTCAGTTTCTAGCCTTCTCAGCTGAGTGGCAGGGATAATTGGCCTGGGAAGGCAGCTTTGGAAGAGGAAGGAAGCAGTTCATCCTACTTGTATTCTGGCTGCTATAGCTGAGCAGTCCCCGCTACTCCAAGAGTGGTCCCCCGAGGAGCAGCTGGACATTGCCTGGCTGCTTGTTAAAGATAAGAGTGAATATGAAGCTTATTGGATCCACAAGGGGAATGTTAGCACATTCGTATTAATCTTGGACAGTTTTCTTCTAAATGCAACATGGCCCCAGCCTCCTACAGCCTGTAGCTCTCTGCCTGAGGCGGAGGAATCAGAGGATCCTTGTTGGTCCACGCTCCTGACCTCCCGCCTGGTTGTCGGGTTGAGGGGGCTGGCATAGCCCAACTCGGGGGGACAGAGGCCTGACTGCCCAAGCTGGTTACATCTTGGCCGATGTTCCCCTAGACCAAATCCCCACTCACTTCCAATGGAGTCTTTTTTTAATTTTATTTTTCAAGTACAGTTTACATTCAATATTGTTTTGTATCAATTTCAGGTGTGCAGCACATCAGTTAGACAAGCATATGGTTTCCAAAGTGATCCCCCTGGTGTTTCCAGTACCCACCTGGCACCGTGCATAGTTATTACAATATTACTGACTGTGTTCCCTATGCTGTGCTTTAGGTCCCCATGACTATTTTGTACCTGCCAGTTTGTACTTCTTCATCCTTTTACTTTTGTCACCCAGCCCCCAATATCCTTCCCCTCTGACAACCAGCAGTCTCTTCTCTGTGTCAGTGAGTCTGTTTCTGTTTTGTTTGTTCATATTGTTCTTTAGATTCCACATGTAAGTGAAATCACATGGTATTTGTCTTTCTCTGACTTATTTCACTTAATACAATACCCTCTAGGTCCACCCATTCAGTTCGCCGCATATGGTAAGGTTTCATTCTTTTTTATGGCTGAGTAATAATCCACTGTGTATGCACCACCACTTTTTAAACAGTGTTTTCCTGAAGGATCCATGTGAGGGGCCCAGAGCTGTCGAGTGATGCATCTGTCTGTGAACTGGAGGGCGATGACTGGGCCAAGATGGTGGGCTAAGGGTAACGGGAATTAAACTGGGCTTCAGACAGAAGCACCAGATACGACATACAAGAAATGTTACTATGAGACTGAAGACCAAAATGTGGAAATATCAAAGGAGATTGTCAAGACAGTGTAGGGGGTTCCCAAATGTTGCCAGGGGGGCAAGGAACAGGAACTGATGGCTTAATGTGTGCACGTTTTCTTTTGGGGTGATTAGCAAGTTCTGAGACTTAATATACATGGTTGTACAGCATAATGAATGCACTAAATGCCACCAAACATTTAAAAATAGTGTTATATAATTTTTAAAAGATTTTATTTGTTTTTAGAGAGAGGGGAAGGGAGGGAGAAAGAGAGGGAGAGAAACATCAATGTGTGATTGCCTCTCGCACGCCCCCTACTGGGCACCTGCCCCCCCCGCCCCTCCAGGCATGTGCCCTGCCTGACAGGGAATCACACCAGGGACGCTTCAGTTCGCTTCAGGCCTGCACTCAATCCACAGAACTACACCAGCCAGGGCAAATGCCATACTATTTTTTTTTTAATCGGGAAAGAAAGGATGAGTTAGTTGGCCCCTTAATCCAAAAAGAGGATAGAAAAGTTTGGAGAGCAAAGGTGTTGAGAGGTTTTGACTGGGAGAGGTGCCGCTGCGCTGAGCCCGCCCTTCGCAACCAAAGTGTGGAGGGGGCGCCATGTTCAACCCAAGGCCGCCCATAGGAGAGGCCTGGGGCACCTGTGTCTCTCTGTGGTCGGAGCAAAAGCACTGACCCCAAGGAGTCTGAAAGTCATATGGGCGCCTATGGGCCTGGAACTTTGGCAGAGGAAGGATGTTGCTGGTGTGCGCCCGCGTGTGTGTGTGTGTGTGTGTGTGTGTGTGTGCGCGCGTGCTGGCGGCGGTGCTTCTGAACCGGGCTGGGGCTGTGGGTCCTGCCAGCCCCTGGGATGCAGACAGAGGTGAGGCAGGGCGTCCGGGCATCCGCACCGGACAGGTCTGTGATTTGCGCAGGGACCCACTGGGGCAGATGTGGGAGACTGAGTTTTCCAGGAAGCAGGGAGGGCATGGGCCATGGTGATTTTCCAGGTCAGGGACTCGAGCCCAGCAGGAGGAAAACCCAGAATGCTGACTCCAAACTTCCCTTCCCCGTTCTTCAGCTAGTAAGTAATTTGCTCAATCTGAAGGTTGAGGTTTTATTCTGAACTTGGTTAAAACTTAAAGACATTAAGGTTTCCTTTTATATAACAGTGTATAGTTTATACTAGACTTTTTTTTTCTCCTGCACTCGTCAGTATTGGGTTCATTCAAGCATGGCTGCCCGCTGTGCTCCCCCAGTCTGCCTGCTCTTCTTCTGCTTCGTCCTCTCTTTCCCCTTGTATTCTTTTTATGAACATAAAATTGATCATTTTAACATCTTTTAAATGTATAGATTGGTAGCATTAACTACATTGACAATGTTGTCTACATATCAGCAGTATTCTCTGTCCAGAACTGTTCAACACCCCAAACACAAACTGTACCCATTAAGCAGTAACTGCCCATTCCTCCCTCTTCTCAGCCCCTGGAACCACTTTTCCATTTTCTGTCTCTAGGAATTTGCCTTCCATTTTCTGTTGTCTATTATTTGAGTGGGATCATACACTGTTTGTCCTCTTGTGACTAGCTTGTTTCATTTAGCATAACGTTTCCAAGGTTCATCCGTGTGGTAGCAGGTGCCAGAATTTCATTAATGTTTGGAGGTTCAGTAGTATTCTGTCATATATACATACCACACTTTGTTTAGTAACTCGTCTGCTGACAGACATTTCATTTCCACCTTTTGACAAGTTACTGTATTTTGCTGTGTACATTGTGCACATTTTTGCCCAAATTTTTGAGGGAAAAATAAGGATATGCATTATACAGGAGTGTAAAAGTTATGTATCATGAATTTAATAATCCCATGTAAACTGTGTACAAAAATGTATGTATGTATGGGTAGGCATTATACATGGAAAAAATGCAGTAATTTATTTTTATTTTTTAATATATTTTATTGATTATGCTATTACAGTTGTCCCATTTCCCCCCTTCATTCCTTTCCACCTTGCACACCCCCTCCCACCCACATTCCCCTACTTTAGTTCATGTCCATGTGTCGTAAGTTCTTTAGCCTCTACATTTCCCATACTATTATCGCCCTCCCCCTGTCTATTTTCTACCTACCATCTATGCTACTTATTCTCCATACCTTTTCCCCCTCTCTCCTCCTCCCACTCCCCTGTTGCTAACCCTCCATGTGATCTCCATTTCTGTGGTTCTGTTCCTGTTCTACTTGTTTGCTTACTTTCTTTTGGTTTCTGTTTTAGGTGTGGTTGTTCATAATTGTGAGTTTGCTGTCGCTTTACTATACATATTTTTATCTTCTTTTTCTTAGATAAGTCCCTTTAACATTTCATATAATAAGGGCTTGGTGATGATGAACTCCTTTAAGTGCTGAGAAGCACTTTATCTGCCCTTCCATGCTAAATGAAAGCTTTGCTGGATAGAGCAATCTGGGATGTAGGCCCTTGCCTTTCATGACTTGGAATACTTCTTTCCAGCCCCTTCTTGCCTGCAAGGTCTCTTTTGAGAAATCAGCTGACAGTCTGATGGGAACTTTGACTGTCCCCTTATCTCTTGCTGCTTCTAGGATTCTCTCCTTCATTTATACCTTGGCTAATGTAATTATGATGTGCCTTGGTGTGTTCCTCCTTGGGTCCAACTTCTTTGGGACTCTCTGAGCTTCCTGGACTTCCTAGAAGTGTATTTCCTTTGCCAGATTGGGGAATTTCTCCTTTATTATTTGTTCAAATAACTTTTTCACTGGTTGCTCTTCCTTTTCTCCTTCTGGTACCCCTATAATTCAGATGTTGGAACATTTAAAGATGCCCTGGAGTTTCCTAGGCCTCTCCTCATTTTTTTTAATTCTTATTTCTTCATTCTTTTCTTGTGGTTGTTTTTTTCTTCCTTCTGTCCACTCCATTGATGTGAGACCCAGCTTTCATTCCATCACTATTGGTTCCCTGTGCATTTTTCTTCATTTAACTTAGCATAGTCTTCATTTTTTCATCTAATTTGCGACCAAATTCAACCAATTCTGTGAGCATCCTGATCAGCAGTGCTTTGAACTGTGTATCTGATAGCTTGGCTATTTCTCGGTAGCTTAAAAAAACTGGCTCTGGGGCTTTCAATTCTGTTTGAGCCATCTTTTTTTTTTTTTTTTTCCTTTGGTCTGGTTGTGCCTGTTACATATAAGGGATGGAGCCTTAGGTGTTCACCAGGGTGGGGCACCCCAGTTGTTGGGTTGTGACGTTGTATGTGGGGGGGATGTCTGAGAGGGTATAATGGCGCTTGCTGTGCTCTCCGTGGGACCTCAGTCCCTTCCGCTGCTTCCCCCAATCAAACTGGGCCCCTCTGGTGCCAATTCCCGTGTGGGTGGACTTGTGCACTCTGTGGGACCCTCTAAGGACCTCTCCTGAGGCTGGGAGTCCCTTCCTGTGCCTCAATTCCCACAGGTGTCCTCAATCAGTGCCCCAAGGCTCTATTTCCCAGCGCTGTGATCCTGGGTTGCACGCAGTGCCTTGCTTCGCAATCACCACCTTGCTGGGTCTGCCGGTTACCACCCCTTGGCCAGGGTCGGCCAGCTGCCGCCTGCACATTCAGAGTCCACCTGCTGTGGTCTTGCACACCCAGATGCCTCACACACCTGGTCCCAACGCTCTCTGCTCTCCAAGCCTTGACCTGCACCTGGCTGTCTGACTCCACCCCTCCTACCGGTCTGGATGACAGCATCTATTTTCTTAGTTGTCTGACTTCCATTCAGATCCATTTTCTGTCAGTTTTGGTTGTTATTCTGTTTCTGAATTGTTGTTGTCTCTATCTTGGTTGTGTGAGGAGGCACAGTGTGTCTAACTGCCTCCATCTTGGCCGGAAGTCTATTTTTATTTTATTTTAATTGTTCAAGTACACTTTTCCGCCTTTTACCCCTAGTCCAGCCCAGCCCAGCCCAGCCAGCCCTTTCCACCTCCCTCCCATTTCCACCCCCCACCTTGTTTTTGTCCATGTGTCCTTTAAACTTGTCCCTGAAAACCCTTCTGCTTTTCCCCTGACATTCCCTCTGGTCTCCCCTCTGGTCACTGTCAGCCTGTTCTCTATTTCAGTGTCTTTTGTTATATTTTGCTTGTTTGTTTGTTTTGTTTATTAGGTTCCTGTTAAAGGTGAGATTCTATTCAGCAGAAAGAAAGAAGTAGCTCCTACCCTTTGGGACAGCATGGATGGAACTGGAGAGCATAATGCTAAGTGAAATAAGCCAGGCAGTGAAAGACAAATACTATATGATCTCAGTAATTTATTTTTAAACCATTCAGCAGGAAAAAAAACATTTAAGCTTAAATAGGGGCATAGTGAATTTTTAATCAGGAGTCAGCATCCCAAGTGTGTGGGGTTAGGGGGTGCTGTTCCTGAACAACCCGTGTGCATGTATTCAGGTCTCATGGTTGCCTTCTGGAAAAAATAAGTGTGGAAATAAATGCTCATACTTGTACACTGGGGATAAATTAATTTAGTTAAATAGGAGTCTTGTTATAAGTTTATTTTAGAAACAATTATGTAGGAAACAATGGACTTGTGACCAGGTGGCAGACAGACTTGAGACTAGTAGCTGATTGGAGAAAATGGGAAGACATTTACTTTGAGCATCAGAGGAAACTGGAAAGAGACATGGCCTGTGGTCTGAACTACTTAAAGCTAGAGTTACCCCACAGGGAAGGGCAGAGCCTGAAGGTTGCTCCCTCCAGCCAACATCTCCCCTCTGGGGAACCTTAACTCAGTAGAGTGTGAACCAGGGGCAGGGACACCTACTGCTTGAAGCAGCAGCCCCATTAAGTAGAGAAGCATCCATGGGGGAAAGTGAACCCTCCCCCCACCCCCACCCCGCCATGGCTTGTAGGTCTAGGAAACAGGAGGCCAGAGTAACCTGCCAGGGTGCTGGAATGGAGCCTTGGTGCTACCAGAAGTGTGGGGGTTCAAGGAAACTGCGCTTGGTAGGAAGGTTGGCACCAGTGGAGCTCTCAACACGGGGCATTCTGATTTATTAGTATAATGTCCTCTAGGCCCACCCATGCTGTTGCAAATGGTAAGAATTCATTCTTATTTGTGGCTGAGTAATGTTCCTCTGTATGTGTGTGTGTGTGTGTGTGTGTGTGTATCACCATTTCTTTTGTCCACTCATCTACTTATGGGCACTTGGGTGGCCTTCATATCTAGGCTATTGTATATAATGCTGCAAAGGGCATAGGGGTGCATATATTTTTTTAAATTAATGTTTTGGATCTCTATGAATGGATATATACTCAGAAGTGGAATTGCTAGGTCATAAGGCAGATCTGTTTTTAATTTTTTAAGGAACCTCCATTCTGTTTTCCACAGTGGCTGCACCAGTCTGAATTCCCACCAACAGTGCACAAAAGTTCACTTTTCTCCACATCATCACCAACACTTGTTGATTCAGTGATGATAGCCATTCTGACCTGTGTGAGATGATGATATTGTAACAGGGTGCAGCTAAGGGGGGGACCCCAAATAGGGATTTGGAATGGGGTCCAGAACTCAAGGTGTCCAGGAAATATTAGGATGTCCTCACCCCTACCCCCAGGTGTGGGTTGGGGGATGGGACACATGGAGCAGGGCCTTTGAGAGCTGTTTTGCATAGCAACAGCCTTGCAGCTACCCTCTGGCATGGTCATTTAACATATCTATAGCCTTTAACTGGTTGCATGGATATATTAAATAGCTGTGGCCATGTTCTGAGCCAGGGGAATGGAAGTAACTTCCCCACCAAGACATAACTGGGGGGCAGGTCCCCTGAGTTACAGTGCCTGCGTGGAGCCAATGACTGGCTCCATGATATGGGGCCATGCCTGCCTGGACCCATGATGGCAGCCCAGTAAAGCTGGAAGGATATGAGAGTGCTGGAAATGGGGCTGTAGAGGAAGATTGGCATGGGTATTTAAACCCAGACATGGCAGCCATTGCAGGGGAGAATCATGTGGTTTTGGCTGAATGGAGACTCCCGTGGCCCTGGGAGAGAGAACCACACGCCGTTGCCAGAGCGGGGACCCCCACAGCTTTAGAAGGGGGA